GAGACCATTCCCTGGGGGGAGGAGGTTTGAGGAGGAGAGGGTGCTGCACGTCTTACAGGGTAGTCCTCTGTCATCGCCTCAGGTGTCCACCTCAGGTATTACTGGCTACAATAAACTTCTAAGCGCAGTCGCCTCCCTGGCTCCTCATTCGGACCTTTCTCACAGTCACTGTCACAGCACCGAGGGGAGCAGAGGGCTGTAGGTCTACCCTCAAGAAGTACACAGCACAGAGACTGGTGAGTGGATATTTGAGCTGTGCTGGAAAAGACACAGAAACTGGCTGGGCGTGGTAGCACACCTTTAATCCCAGCCCTAGTGAGGCAGAGACAGGCAGATCTATGTGAGTTCAAAGCCAGCCTGGTCTACCTAGTGAGTTCCAGGCCAGCTGGAGCAACAGGGAGACCCTGTGTCAAAAAACCAAAAAAAAAAAAAAAAAAAAACCTTCCTGTGTTTTCCTATGTCAGAATAAAGCCTGTGGATTTATGTTAGTTAAAAGCCAGCCTCTATGGAGATGAGACCTTTTTTCAAAGCTCTTCCCAATTCTAGTCCTCCAAAATGTTGAATGTTCTAAAAGCTTTTATGATTGATAAAAGGAAATCTCTAAAGTGATGGACAATTTATATTGATAATTGGCCGTTTTCTTCAAGCTTTGTTAGGGTTTTCCTTAAAAGTCCATCTACTTAGGTGTTATGCTGCGTATTCAGGTGTTAAGATCTTACCATTGGGGGCTGAAGAGATGGTTCAGTGGTTAAGAGCACTGGCTGCTGTTGAGGACTCCAGGTTCGATTCCCAGCACCCACATGGATGCTAACAGTCGTCCTTAAGTCCGGTTCCAGAGGATCTGTCATCGTCCTCTGGCCTCTGAGGGCATTGCACATGCAGGTGCACTAACATACATGCAGGCAATACATTTAACACATGAAATTAAAAAGAAATTTTAACTGCTAGCCTTAGCAAGCTGGCTCATGCTTCTAGCACTTGGTATTGCCTTGAGTTCAAAGCCAGCCTCTGCTATAGAGGTGAGACCTTTTGTCAAAGGTCTCCCCCCTTTTCACTCCTATAAAAATTTGAGTGTTTCAAGCCGGGTGTGGTGGCGCACACCTTGAATCCCAGCACTCCGGAGGCAGAGGCAGGTGGACGTCTGTGAGTTCAAGGCCAGTCTGGTCTACATTGAGTTCCAGGACAGCTGGGGCTACAGGGAGACCCTGTCTCAAAAAGACCCCCCCAAAATTTTTTTTTGAGTGTTCCAAAAGTTTTTTTTAAGGATATAAAATTGTCTTTATTTATCTTGATGTATATATCCATTGAGAAATGGTTTGGTCTACCTACTGTCATGACTCTCAGTTGCTGTCTTGGGGAGAACACTGCCATTACATGCAGTCTTCATTTCTCAAGAGTACAACCTATTGCCATTGTTGTTTCTGTAATGGGCATTACTTCTGTTGAACTTAGTTCTTTCACCTCACTGAATGGGAATCCATCATCACCCTCATGTCACCCCGGTCATGGAGAGCAAGGTGTTTTTAGATTTGAAAAAGTGAGATTATGTGGTATTTGTCTTTCTGTGTCTAGCTTATTTTAATATAGTTACTTACAAGTGCATTCATGCTGTTAAAAATGGAAGGTTTCGTTTTTTATGGTGGAATGGGATTTCATTTTGTACCAAACTACATTTTCTTATTCCGCTGAATAATACTTAGGTTGAATTCATATCTTAGTGCTTTTTCTGTATGTATGAGATAGGGTCTCCCTGTATAGCCCCAGCTGGCCTGGACCTTGCTATATAGACCAGGCTGGCCTTGATCTCACAGAGTTCCACCTCTCTCTGCCTCCTGAGTGTCAGCTTTTAGTTTTTGTGAATAAGCATGATTGTAGATTCATTTTCTTTTTATCCTTTGGGTGGGGGTATGTATGTACACAGTAGTACTATTGCTGTGTCTTACAGTTGAAGAATCTTCACATCATTTTCCATGGTGGGTATATATTACATTGCCATGAACTGTAAGATTTTCCTTAAGAGCACTGAGGAGCTCACTATGGTGTTCACTTAAATTAGATGATTAAGAGTCCTCAGCTGAGCGGGATCTCTCTCTCTCTCTCTCTCTCTCTCTCTCTCTCTCTCTCTCTCATGTGTTCTCTGGAAAAGCAGCAAGCACTCTTTCTTGTTTTTATTTTAAGACAGTCTCCCTGTAGCCCCAGCTAGCCTGGAACTTGATTTTAGACCAGGTTGACCTTGATCTCTCAAAGATCCACCAGCCTATGCCCCCTAAGTACTGGAATTAGGTGTGCACCATCACACTTGGCTTCACCACAAGCAGTCTTAGCCCTTGAGCCATCATCTCTCCAGCCCCATTTCATTTCTTTGTATACTTATCGGTCATTTAAATGGCTTTTGAGGAACTGTCATTGGGTCTTTGCTCTTTAGAAATTTTTATTTTATGTACATGAGTGTTTTGTCCACCTGCATGTTAAGTGTGCCCTTGTGTAATGTCTGTGAAAGCCAGAAGAGGACATTGGATCCTCTGGAACTGGAGTTATAGATGGTGGTTATCTGTCATATGGGTGCTAGAAAGTGAACCAGAGTCTTCTCCAAGAGCAGGCAGTAGTGCTCTTAATTGCTGAGCCATCTCTCCACCCCTTTCCCCTTATTTTTTTGAGATTGAGTTTATGTGACCCAGGCTGGATTGGAACTGAGTGCTACAAATTACAGACATGCTCCACCATATCCAGTTTATGGCCATTAGCTGAGTTGTTTTGTGCTGTTGATGTGTTTGAGTTCATTCAGTAGTTTTGACATTAACTCATCTGCTAATTATAATTTATATATGTCTCTTCCTGGTTCTTTATCTCCTGTTTTCTTTTGCTGTACAGAAACTTTAATTTGATGATCTCCATTTGTCTAGTTTTGCTTTTGTTTCTTACATGTTGAAGTCATAGCCAGAAAATGTTCCTCAGAGCAGACATAGATCCCTCTCTCTCATAGGTGTCAGTCTCACATGTTAACCTGTTCCGGGTTGATTTACATATAAGTCTGTCCAGCATGTAAGAAGCTGGGCTTCCCTGTTGTGTGTTCTGGCATCTTTGTTGAAAATGAATTGGCTGTAGGTAAGTGTGTTGTTAGCACAGGCTGGCCTGGAGCTCACTGCCTGTCCTCCTGTCTTAGCCTCTTCAGTGCTGGAATTACAGGCATGTACCGCTTTGCCTGGTTGCATGGTTCCTCCTTCCCCCATCACCATAGGGTTGCTGCTTTAGATCTGTGTAGTAAACTTGCCTGGGGCATCTGTATGACAGGTAATTAAAGTTATTTCCAACCTTCAGACTCTAGTAAATCAAAGGAACTTTTAAAATTATGTAGATAAAATGCTACAGTTAGCATTACCAAATTCCCAAGAGGGTTCACGAACGTGAGCTCAGTTCATTATATTCCTACTTTGGATGGAAATACTTAAATTAGCAAACAGCTGATTCATAAACCGGCAAAAAAAAGCCTACTTTCTATTGGATTTGTAGTGATTAGAATTTGAGAATTTTGGTATAAAATTAAATGGTTTCTATGAAAACAGGTCAAAGAAATTCTGTATTTCATTAACTATGGAGATAATGGATTTCCTCTAGCTTATTACTGGGATTTTCAACTCAGAACACTTACTTTTAATTTTAATTATACCATTTAAATGTGTGAAGTAGTTAAACAAACTTCTTTGTGTGGTTTTGCATAAGGTTAAGTCTCCATTGATGATATTTCTGGTTTCATAGTATTTTCTGCTGTAGAAATGTTTATGCAAGGACTGCAGCCCTTGTACTGAAGGCACTGTAAGAGGTCTGTTACTTTCATACCCTGCTGTATTATTGATTTTTGTGTGTGTGTATTTCATACAGAACATCTCAAATAATCATCTTTATACCCCATCCCCGCTGGTACCCTCCCGTAGCCTCACGCCCTCCACACACACTGGAGCCCAGAATTGTTTTTTAAAATACTGTTTTTATTTTTATGTGTATGAGTGTATTGAAAGTACACCTGTGCCCTGCACTGCCTGTGGAGATGAGAAGAGGGCGATGGATCCCCTGGAATTGGAGTTATGGAGGATTGTGAACTCCCATGTGGGTGCTGGGAATTGAACCCAGGTCCTCTGCAAGAGCAGCCAGTGCTCTTAACTGCTGAGCCATCTCTAGCCCCTTTACTAATAAATTGTAAATGTGCTAGTTGCTTGTA